CCGCCCTCCCCGCGCAGCCCCCTCGGGCGGGCCGGCCCTGCAGCGGGTCGCACGGCTCGCGTGAAGGCAGCTGTACGGGAGCCGCCTCGGCGTTGCGCCCCCGAGCTGGGGACGGGAGACCGCAGCTTCCTTCACCCCCGGCCGAGCCCGGACAGGCCCTCGCGGAGAGCAGCGGCAAGGTTCCTCGGGGAGAAAAACACCTCTGCAAAGCCAGGAAGAGCCTGGCCGGGACACAGGGACGGTGCCGCTGTCCGACGAGGAAGTGTGTTGCCCAGCTCCCTCTCCCGGGAGCCGAGTGGCGGCGGCTCAGGTCCCTGCCTCGCCGCTGTTACAAAGGCCGGGTGTTTGTGAAGAGGGGGGCGCCTCGGGGACCTAAAAGTCTGCAAAGAAAGACTTTTTTTGTTGTTGCTGCCGTTAGTCATGCCGCCTCTAACCTAAGAGTTTGGTTTGTCTCTGTTTCTTACACCAACACGGCTACAGCATAGATCCCATGTTAGGGATGTATTCCGTGTCCCAAGAGCCGGAAAGTTTGCAAAGAAAGATTTATTTATTTTTTTGCGGTTTCTTAGTTGGTCACATAAAAGGTATCACCTCTGAACCAAGACTCCTGGAGTTTTGCATTTCCCCTTGTTAGGAGCATGGCTAGATCCTATTAAAATTAAGCCCCTGACCATTAATCTGCTAGTCCTAGCAATGCAACATCCAAGTCATACACTTTGGCGGGTGAATTGATGCACAAGTTTAGTGTCATTTCCCCTCTCTGATTCACTATTATTATATTATCTCCAGTCACCTTACAGTTGAGAGGCAGACAGGAAGAAATGAAGAAAAGCTTAGTCTCTTTGGGAAAGCCCAAGATCTAAAGGGGTGGAAACTCCTGCAGACTTCTCACTGATTTCACCTGGAAACTGCAGGCGGTGCTTTTGTAAGCTATGTCATCCCGACGCTCCTGTGCCTCTGAGCATACAGTACAGCTCTTATGTGAGCCACTTCCCTTATGATTAGTAGTGACGCTTTACGTGGGAGTTGCGAGGTTCCATTTATTAATATTTGTACAGTCATTGTTTGAAAATGCAAAATGGAACATTATCTTCTATCTTGCTTGGGTGTCTTGTGGCATATTCGATGGTCCTTGCTCAGTGATGGATGAAAAGAAAACGGGTTTTGCTCAAGTGAGGAGGACTAGATCAATCCTTTCTGAATATCTCATCCACACTTAGTGCCACATTGGAGGATCCTATTAAAATTAAGCCCCTGACCATTATGCTCTATAACGCCCATGCCTGATCTACTGGTGCCTAGTCCCATAGTCAAATCCTCAGGGGAGGGTTAGGTGCCTGGTGGGGCAACATGATGGGTGGGGATGAAGAATAGGATGAAGTGACAAAGAACAGGCTCCAAGCCAGCCAGCTCTGAGCAGGAAGCTGTAGCTGAAATCTTGCCCTCTCCAGATCACGGGTGCTATGGTTCACTTGGTGCGTGCAGCCCAGAATCCTTTCCCTAGAGTATGTGCCTAAATCCATTCCTTCCAAGAGCTGAACTGGCCTCACTGCTTCATTTGAAAAGGCAGCCAGCAGTATCCATCTTTTATAGAATAAACTACTAGTGAGTGCATTTGCCTGGGAAATGGAGGACCTGGGCTTACTATCCTCCTTGAGCTGAGGGATTTTCAGACCTATACCTCCAGAGAGTGTGCTCTAACCATCAGGCTGCAGGCTACTTCGGCTAATGGACTTAGGGTGAAGCTGTGCCACTCTATGCAAAGAATTTAGAATTCATGGGGACTGGAGGAAAGAGGGAGCACATATACCCATGAGTCTATTGCCTAGTGGAGTGGGCACTCAGCTGAGAGTCTGGTCCCTGCTCACAGGACTCTATGCACTTGCCATTAAACAGCTGTTGGAATAAAATACATAAGGAGTCCTGGGACTCTGAGCTCCCAAAGCACCCTCACCACTAGGCTACACAGTCTCTCTCCCCCTCCCAACTTGTTCTTCAATTCTTTGTTTATAATAGCACAGCTTCAGCAGGACAGGTGAAGTGTGCTTCAAGCCTGGTGGTTAGGGCACCCTCATGTAAGATGGGAGATGTGGGTTGGAGCCCCTGCAGCCCCAGTTTTGTACTTCCTGGGTGTGTTCTCTCACTATTAGTCTATGCTACGCAAGGTGGGTGGCAGCACCAGCACTTACTACACTGCACTGTTCAAAAGAAAGCATCCCTGATTGCATTTTGGGAGAGAGCCAATTCTGCTGTTGCACATTAGGCATGTTCCAAGCACACTTGCTCAATTGGCTCCTGCAGGGCACATAGGTGGAGAGACTCCTGGCTCGCGTCTAGGAGCAGTGGGTGCCTGGGGCAGTCCAAAATCAAGTGGTGCATGACAAGTACAGGTAGACATTGCCAGGACTATGTAGCAGCTGAGTGGGATACCTAGGATCACAATTTTGGACCTAGGTGCCTAAGTCCTGAATTGGATCCAGCCCAAACATTTCTTCTGTGCTGCAATTCAGACATAGCAGGAGGCCTGCCAAGCACACCAAAGGTTTGAAGCTTAACTTCTATTCTCAGCTGCAAGTAAAAAAAATCCAACACCACCACTTGCTTACATACATGTCTCTTAATCATCCCTCATTACATGAGCTGTGCCTCATGTCAGACCTTCATTTACTCCTGCCATACCCAAGCCTGGTATTACCTCTTGCCCTATTGTAAATGATTTAGTCAGAACTGCTGAATCATGGTATGGAGGGTAGGTTCCAGGGCCAGCTCCACGCAGATTAAAGGAGTACAAAATCAGCCATTTCTTAGCCAAAGAGGAAGTGCAAGTGGCACACAACTAGGGTAAAGCCCAACCTGTTTCATGAAAGTGGGATCACACGGGGTCATCCCCATTTAATGTCCCCCCCTGCCCTGAAGAGGTTTCTCCCTGCCTGCCTAATCCTTATATATATATATAGTATTTTGCTAGGACTTTGAGTGCCATTTCTTGCTGTGTTTGTTCTGAATCCTGATTCCTCTCACCTCATCCTCAGCACCTGCTGTGATGCCTCCTCAAAAGCATTTCTCTTTCCTTCCTTTTTGCAATTCCCACTTATTCCCAAGGAGCAACCCCTGCTCCCTCCCTGCTTCTCTCCAGTTCCTCTCTATACATTCCTGTCACATGTGGCTTCTCTTTCCCATCCCACATAGAAGCTAGCAGTTGGAGAGAATTCAGTGAAACCTCTGTACTTCCTGTCCTCAGGTAGGATGGGCATTAAGTATGAGAAGGACCTTGGTGGACAAGCCCTGCTCTCCAGTTCTCTGCTAAGTTCATGAGGGGTAACAATGTCTCTTTTTCCCCCTTTGGTAGCTATACTTTCTCCAGCAGTAGCGCTTCAGGCTGAGCACCAACAGTTGCACGCATTCACAACTGTCATGCTGCACCCCTAAGCCCCAGTTTCCACTTCAGAATTTATCCTATGTCCAGTAACAGAGAGCTCTGCTTCTCCCTCCATTCAGGAGCCCGTTACTACCGGAGGAGTGTTGCTAACCGAGCCTACTGTCAATGTACAAACATATTTTTCTCATGTCAATGTGAAATATATATTCATTCAGGACCAGTCTTACTCTAAGTTCAGATGGCAGAAACGCTAGTGAAAATGATCACTAAAATTCTTCCGGATTTTCACCATGGTCACTGAGAGCAGGTTTTGCTTTCTAAGGCTCAAGTTGATACTTCTGGTGCAAGAAAGTCTAGTAAGTGGGAATCAGTGAAAATACTGAAAAACAGCAGGAGCAGCTGCACTGCAGGGCTAGGTGAGCAACCTCTGTGTGGCAGGTAATTAACTAGATATCCCACCAGAAAAATGGTGGCATTTCAGCACTAGCTCTTATCCCTGGGCAATCTTCTATTTTGCTGGAAGACTGCAGCCCAAACAGTGCCTATAACTTTATCCAATCTGATCTTCTGAGTAGCATAGATCGTATGAGTTCAACCACTCCTGCACTGAACACTATCACTTAGATTTGGCCAAAGGAGATTTTCTGGAAAGGCATCTGGTCTTGATCTGAAGACATCAGCAAATGGAGAATCTGCTGCTCCCTCCTGTAGTTTATCTCAAATGGATCAGAATCCTCTTTATTAAAAATGTATGCCTTCTTTCTTCTTATTTTGATTTTGCCTGGTTTCCGTTTCCAGCTGTTGCTCTCCTTGTTATGCCTTTCTTTGCTATATTAAAAAAAGTCTAATAATGCTTCCCATTTTCTACAATGAAGGTGCATATATACTGCATAACTACATCTCTTGATCTATCAATAAACAAATCAAACTGAGCTCTTATAAATCCCACTGTAATTCACTTTTCTTCTAGCCCATAAATCATTTATCTAGTTCCTCCATCTTTAATAGCCTTTATATGATTTGTAGTAAATTTGTCTTCTCCGCAATTATGTTATTACACGCAAAGCATCTGCTCTTCAGTGATGATTACACTAACACTGATATTAAAAGTTTTCATAGAAATATATGACACTAGTGATTATTAAAATGAAATTATTATGATATTTAAAATCA